CAGCAGGACATGTGTTAATGATTAAAATTAAAAGAATAAAACATCTACCTTCTAAACATCAAAATGTCCATAAGAGTTGATTTGCTTCAATATATGGAAAATAAGTACAGGGAACTGCTTCTCACTTGACTCCATGGAGAATTTACAAGCAAGAGAGCTTTGGCAGGTGTGTCTTCTTTCTCCTTTCTCTATTGCTTCTCTTCCCATTCTTCTTCCTTTCCCTTTCCTGTTCCTCAATTCGTTGAATTGCCAGATAGGCTGCTTCATCATCTTAATTTTCTGATAAAAGCCATGCCTCTGTAGTCAACATGGACCTGTATACACAGGTTCTGAGCCTGCCTGTTATTTCTGTCCTCTCCCTCAGCTGTGTGTGGCACTGCATCTGAACACAATTTGAGCAGACATGTCCAATCACACAAGAGTGACTCACTTCATCCTCAGGGGCTTCTCAGATGTCCCTCAGCTGAGATTGGTGGTCATCCCATTTTTCTTGCTCGTTTACACATTTGGACTCCTGGGGAACCTCTCCATCATCATGGCTGTGATGAGAGAGAGTCGGCTCCACTCTCCCATGTACTTCTTCCTGAAGAATTTGTCTTTTCTGGACATATGCTATACCTCAGCCACCATCCCCAAGGCAGTGGTTATATCCTTCACAGGCTCAGGAGTCATCTCCTATCTTGAGTGTGTAGCACAGCTTTACATAATTTTTACATTTGTATGTACTGAATGCTATCTGCTCACGACCATGGCTTATGACCGGTGTCTGGCCATCCTCAGACCACTGCTCTATGGAAACATCATGAGCCAGAACTATTGTTCTTCATTGGTGATCACTGCCTGGGTAGGTGGGGCCATCTACTCAGCCTTCCGCACTTCCAACACCTTCTCCCTCCCCTACTGTGGGCCCAATGTCATTGAGCACTTCTTCTGTGACATCCCTCCAGTCATGAGACTCTCCTGCACTGATTACCATGTCAATGAGGAGGTGGGCTTTGTGGTGAGCATCTGCACTGTCATGAGCTCCTTAGTCCTCACGGTGGTCTCCTATATTGGCATTGTGGCCACAGTTCTTCGTATCCCCTCAGTGGATGGCAGGTGGAAAGCCTTTTCTACCTGCTCCTCTCACCTGACCACGGTCATCTTGTTTTATGGAACTGGAAGCTTTGTGTACCTGAGGCCTGCCTCTCAGTACTCGCCGACCCTGGGTCGCCTGGCATCTATTTTCTACTCTGTAGTCACACCGTCTTTGAACCCAGTTGTCTATTGCCTGAGGAACAAAGATATGAAGTTTGCTCTACAGAAACTTTATTGTGGGAAGAAGTACTGAGTCCTAGAAGACTACAGTGTGTGGCTCTTAGGGTCTGATAACTATTGATGGAGTCAGGCAATTTATCCCCTCAAATTTTCTTTCCCTTCCTATGTCACTTAACATTGTTGATAAAAACAGAGGACCTGTAGGAGCCTCCCGAGTTCCTGCACTAGATACATGTAGGCAAAACACTCATACATATAAAAAATAAAAACCAAAAGCAAACAAATTCTCCACCTAATATCATTGTGGAATTCTTTTTTCCGAGCAGTACTCATTACAGGAGACAGGACTCTCAGGATTTTCCTATCACCCTTGTGTAAAGGCCACTAATATGAATTTCCATTATTTTGTAAAACCTCATTTTCCTGGACTGGTACAGGTGTATCCCCTGGAAGTGCCAAGAGTCCTGAAGCCAGCACAGCGGCCGGACACAGCTCCGTCAAAGCTGAATGCATTGCTACACTCGCTGTCCTTCTATATCCAACTTTTGGGTTTTGGTCTCTGTGTGTTGCATTCTTGGGGACTTTCTGCATTATGATTCGATTTATGTCTTTTCCTGCGAAAGATTGTGTCTGAGTCTTTTTAGGAAAATCCTAAAATTAACTCTATCTGGCCACTATTTGGAAGTCCTCCTTATGCTCTGGAGATCATTCAGCACAGATAAGCACATCCCTAGATGAACCATTACTCCAGGAATCTCCTTAGGGTAGCAGTCCCTGAGCAAACTCAAAAGTGTAATTGGTACAGGGTAAACAGACACAATTGACAAACTCTGACTGGCCAGGAGAATCGGTTACAGATTCAAGGTCTCTTCTTATTATAGGCTTAGAGTTCTCTGAAAATGTAGTTTAAAGAAAGGGGGTCATACAGGATATACTTCTGGAGATATAAAACTCAGTAAATAAGTTAGATTGACTAAAATAACCTTTTCCTACTTTATAGCATAGATGATGAAATATACAGTAAGTGGAGTTAGGTGTTAGTGTTTGCTATTTGTAAGAAGACCAGTTCAGGTATTTTTTGTTTGTCTGGAGTTCTTTAAAACTACAAACATTGCCAGCCTAAAAGCAGGCTGTCACATAATGTATGCATTTGCTTTGGCGGAGACAGTCTTTAGGTTCTTTAAATTGGAGTTATAGGGCTGATAATAAAAACAAAATCTGTTCTGTTTGTGTTTTAACTTAACTTGTAACCCTGGACATGTAATGGAGACAATCAATGACATAGTCTGTAGCACCTGGATCACCACTAGTCTTTGATCTGTGACACCTGTAAAAATAAAGCACCTGGTTGCTAGTCAGTCAGAGCTGGAGATTCCCCTGAACCCCATGGCCTGACTCACTCCCCTCTCCCCTCACCGACTCCTTATCACCTCTGCAGGCTGGCTGCCCTGTAAGCTAGGACCCCCGGTGGGGAAGGCCCCTGGCACTGGATATCCCATAAGCAACACATTTTATCATTCAAACTGTTCCTTGGATGTCAGATTGTTCTGCTAGTGCAGACACTTGAACCAACCTCTGATTTTGTTCCAAGCTGATGAACTTTAAACATTCACTTCCTTAACTTTTATCTAAATAGCAATCTTCATTCCCATGCTCTAAACATCTCTTTAATTGCCATCTCTTCTTAGTCTAGGATTCCTTCCTCCAGCCCTGTATGGAGGGTCCCAGATGTTAGGCTAATAGTTTAGGCTGAAGGACACTGCATGGACAGAGTGCAAGTGGAATCTTATAAATTATCCTCAAACAAACCATGTGGCTCCGAAGGCATGGCTTATTTCTTCTTACTTTCAGGAAGTCAGTGAAGACTCCAAGAGGCTAATTTTAGCCTTGCTTGGGACACAGGGGCCAGGTGTGGGTCACATTGACAAGTCAAAAAGTATTGATCTACTTAAACCAGTGTGATACACTCATCTGAATGTTTTAAGGGACTATATAATGATGAAAGCAAACAAACTACAGACACCCAGTCAGACACAAAGCACCAAACACATACCTACCTTTACTGTGCTGGAGACTGGGAATGGAGAGAGAGAGAGAGAGAAAGAGAGAAAGAGGGAGGGAGGGAGGGAGGGAGGGAGGGAGGGA